ACATGAATCAAATATGTATCTTTATTCATTTACAATAAACTCATAAAGTACATCATTCTGATTGAAGCTAAGGACATACAAAACTGTCTAACACCTTGGTTGTTTGGTTGTGAACAAACCATTTTTAATGGTTTGGAGAAGTTTCAGAATTTGAGTTGATTTTGTTCGAAGAAGAAGAAGAAAGAAAGAAGAAAAAAAAAAAAAGAGAAAGAACGAAAGAAAGAAGAGATGCATGCTGGGCAACTATCACACGAACTAGAGGTAGCTGTGCCTGCCAGCGAGGTGTGGGAAATCTATGGTACCCTGAAACTGGGGAAGCTTTGCGAAGAACTTCTCCCGGATGTCATCCACAAGGCAGAAGTAGTTGAAGGCGATGGAGGGGTTGGCACAGTGCTCAAAGTTACACTTCCACCAGGTATCTTTAGTTTCTATTGACTCAATTCAATTACTGAGCAATTCTTTCTAGCTCAACTGAGATTCTGTCCTAATCTCTACTCCCATCCATGTCTCTGAAACCCACTGTTTGGCTAAGCTAAGCTAAGCTTCCACTTTTGAAGTTTGGGCTGTGGGAAACAAAAATGAGTTGAAAAAAGAGTTTTGAGCATTTGATAAAAGTTGTTTTTGTAAACACTTTTATTCTTATTTTGGACCACAAAAGCACACATCCTGAAGCTAGCTTATTCAAATGCAACCTTAATTATTGAAAGATTGTTTGCTTATCTGGGAATACCAGGTCTGGTTTCTTATAAAGAGAAATTCACCAAGATTGATAATGAAAAGCGTTTGAAGGAGGTAGAAGTGGTGGAAGGAGGAGCCTTGGACCTTGGGTTTCGTTTGTATCGAATTCGCTTGGAGATTATTGAGAAAACTGAAGTTTCATCGCTAATCAAATCAACCGTAGAGTATGAAATTGATGATGAGTCAGCCAACAACCCTTCGTTTGCGACCACTAAGCCACTGGAGCAAATTGCAATGGCCATGGGGAAGTATCTCACTGAACTTAAAACAGAGTAGATGATGCCAGAATTTCATAGTCTAGTTCTGCATTTTCTGTTGTTAAGAAATAAATCAATATGATTCCCTCATACTTTATTCAAGAATATAATTGAAATCTTGTCTATCGTGGGAATTATTGGAAATTAGCATGTCTGCCTGTCTGGTATACAAAAAATTTTACAAGCTCAGTTTCTTAGAGAAGCTACATGTGGATATCTGCTACAATTTTCTAAGAGCTGGAAATAGAGAATCGCAATAATATAATTGAACTTAAGATTTAATAGTGGTAGTAAAGATTTGAGTAGTATAGCTCTGTGCCTCCATTGTTTGTGATTATGCATGATTTGGTCTTTCCTATCTAGATTGGCAGCTTGGATGTCGGTTTGTTTAAGTAGCCAGTCGAACTGCAAGAGAACACGACCAGAGGACCCAGGGTGGCTTATCCGGTGTGGGCCCTCCGATGCTTAAGTTAACGAAGAGTGTAGTGCGAGCTGAAGAACTTTGTAAGCAAGATAGATAGAGAGTTAATATCACAAGTACCTTGTAAAGTTGGAGGTGAAGTTCTTATATAGGTGAGCTGCCGTAGGCCTCATGGAACGCATCCAAGATCCCTAGCCCGCATTATCCCAGAGTTCATTTCGCACTTGAAGATGGACTTCGCGTAAACTGATAAGTCTTATCGAGTCTGTCCGATCCCGGGAAGGCTGGAGGCAGCTAGCTAGCTAGCTTCTAGAAGTAGGCTGTGTGGCACCTCAGCAGGTCAAGTCACCACAAGCTGCTCAGACCTTGGTCTTGGCCGAGGTGCTTGAGGTACCCGAACTGACCTGGCCTATTTAGGTGGCTGGGAATGCTGAGTTATCATCCGGTCATCAGGTCGTTCCACGTGACCACATGCTAACAGGTTAGGCCAAATTACCCCTCATCAGTTTGCAACATAATTTCTTTTTAATTCAAGCTTGCAATTTGCAATGCAATTTCACTTGAATTGAAGTAGTACAATTGCATGGGTGTGAAAACCAAAACAGCAGTGTTTTCGAATTGTTGTCGACTCGGATGGTCAAACTGTTCGGCCTAGAAATCGGTTCTGTTTCACCCTTAATCCATTCCTGGACCAAAAACCGTTGACTTGTTCAGAAAATTTCTGACCCAAGCGGTCGAACTATTAACCTGGACAGCGGTTCACAGTTTAATAAAGTTGCAAGGAGATCAGAGAGGGGAGAAATTGAGACAAGAACGATCTCAGATCTGAGATCGCTAGATCCCAGATACAGCAGAGAAGAAGAAGAAGAAGATTGTAGATGTTGAAGAGAAATTAGATCTAAGGTCTATGATCTCGGTTCTCAGATCTCAGATCTCATATTTGATCTGTGTTTCTGTTACTGTCATCGCCTTCGCTAGTGAACATCGAATCCTCCTCCTCTTCCTTCTTCCTTCCTCCTTCTTCCCTCCTTCCTTCTTTTCTTTCCTTTCTCCCATTCCTTTCCTTTTTTTTTTCCCTTTCTCTTCTTCCTTTCTTTCTTTCCTTCTTTTCTTCTGTCTTTCTTTTTGCTCAGTCGACAACCTGCCTCTCTTTTCTCATACAAGACTAAAATTCTAAGAATAGGTAATAATATTTGCCCTAATAATCAAACCATTCAAATCGTTTGACCTAAATGGTTGAACCACTGACTCGGAAAACCAGTGGCCACAAAGTTCTATTTCCAGGTCATTCTTAAAACCTTGCAAAAAAGTATAAATTATGCTTCACTTTTACTTTTGGATCTTAAATTCTTTTCCTTTAGGTTGTGTTCGGTTACAATGCACTAATGCAAAACTACAGTAGTGAACATAATTGGGTGCAATTTCTGATTTATTTTTGTTTCAAATTTTACCTTACTTTAACAGATGAAGTAAAATAAGACTTTAAAACATAATAGAGTAAAACTCAAAACAAAATTAAACTAGAATTTGCATTCCTTTCATTTGCACTCTCATACATTTGTACTAGTGCCAATAAAATTGCATTGGAACCAAACACAGCCTTAGGTTTTATTTTAGGACAAAATGCAAAAAACTACCTTGTTCTTTGGAGTAGTGATCCATAGCTCCACAAACTTCTATTTGTGATGGAGATCTACCTCGTACTTTTAATTAGATTCCAACACTTAGGTTCTTGTCATTAGCATCTCGTCAATTTTAAACTTTTAGTCCATTTTGCCATTTCCTTTAGTGCATCTCCAAAATCCAAAATTTGAATTTTTTCTATATTTCTTTTTTCTTTTCATTTGTTTAGGAGATAGACTAAAGAAAGTTAAAAGAGGTAAAGTGTTGCCATTTGGTTTTAGAGATGCAATAAAAGGAAAGGCAAAATGGTCTTGTTGGAAAGCGTGAATGCAATATGGTTGTAACGGATATCAAACCAGAAACCAAACAAGCATGTCTGAATTGCAAGAAAATGTATAGTAAGTTTGTGAAAAACATACCGATAACAAATGAGCTGCAAGTGTCCGCTCTCCTTAAGAAGGAAAAACATACCGGTAACAAACTTTTGTTTGTGATACAAAAGTTGAACCAGGGTATTTATGTACCCTATTTGGGTTTGTGAGCTTTTGTTTGCCATACAAAAGCGAATCAATTAAGAAGGAAAAACGTTTTTTTTTTTTTTTTTCTGACACATTCGTATTAATAACGTAGACGGAAATGGGCCCATGCATGGCCCATGCACGTCTATGTAAACCCAAGCCCATCTAGCTTAATCCATCTGGCATACCAGATCTACTAGGTCTCTTGTAGGTAACTAACTAGGATAACCCTAATCCCCTTCTCAAGATAAGAATTATCCTAAACAAACTAGGATAATTCTAATCCTATATCAAGGTAAGAACTATCCTAGATAAATCTCAATTGGCCCAGATAAGCTCTGTCTCATATAGTCCTATTGTAACTCACTCTCTGTAATTATAAATAGGGTTGATTTGACCCTAACAAGGCAGGTTGGTTAAATGATTCTTTTATTATGTTTTTTTCTCTCTTTTATCTCTACTAATATTCTTTGTTATTTTCCTTTTGTTTTAACTTGGTATCAGAGCCATGTCGACAGAGACAGACATACATGGTAGTAGCCTAGCGGCTCAATGTCAAGTAATGTTTTCCCTTCAATCCAGAATGTTACTCATTATCTTCCTATCAAACTTGGAAGTGACAATTATCTGCTATGGCATACCCAGTTCCTTCCCATTCTTCAATACCATCACCTCTTGGAGCTAGTAGAAGGGAAGAAGAAGCCACCACCTGAAGTTATACCCAATCCAGACAGTATAGGGATGATTGTAAACCCTGAATTCGAAAAATGGACAAACATCGATCAGCTTGTGCTGAGTTGGCTGATCTCCTCTCTCATTGAAGGTGTTATGGCACAAGTGGTAGGTTTGTCGATGTCATCAGAGGTATGGACTTCACTTGCTCACAGTTATTCCACCCACTCCCATTCCAGGGTACTGCAGTTGTGGAGACAACTATAAAATCTTAAAAAATGGTCTCTATCTATCTCTGCATACATACAATGAGCTAAATCCATTGCTAATAGTCTTTCTACAGTATCTGAACCAGTTCTCAAATCAGAATTGGTACTCTGCATTTTATCAAGATTAGGGAGTGAATATAAGTCAGTAGTTACAACTCTTACAAATCAACCAGATGCAGTAGATCTTGGTATTGCTGACACTACGGGAGCACTTTTGAACCATGAGAGCTGGCTTGAAGACCTAGCTCTTGCATCAAAACCTCGAAGTGCAAATCTTACAAGTGTTCCTCCAAAGAAAACTAATTTTCAGAAGTCCCCACAACAATTCTCACCAAATTACAATAACAATAGAGGTAAGAGGCGTGGATGTGGCTCTCCACAATATAATCATCAACCTTTTCAAAATCAGTCACATCAATCTTCTGGAGGACGTGGAGGTAAAAATAATGCTACTTGTCAGATCTGTAATAAATATGGACATAGTGCCCTACAGTGTAGAAAAGTAAAATATGACTTTGGTTTTTCTGATAATCCTTGCAATGATCCTTTTGCCATTCATGGAGGGGTAAATACCCCTTAGAATTAGTATGAGAATAATTTCGATTCCAACTGGTATCTGAACTCTGGAGCTACTTATCACATGACTCCAAATCTAGATAATCTACAAAATTGCATTGAGTATACTGGACCAGATCAAGTGAAGGTCGACAATGGTCAAGGTCTGAATATTCATCATATAGGATCTTCTTTTATGATTTTCAATCAACATGCTTTCTCTTTAAAAGATATTTGTCATGTTCCTTCTATTTGCAAGAATTACACCTAAAGCTCTTATTGGAGAACGTACATCACTTCATGGTTGGCATTTGCATCTTGGACATGCGGCTATGCGTAATGTACGGCAAGTCATTTCAAAGTTTGGTTTTCCATTTATTCGTTCTAGTGTTAATGAGTTTGCTTGTTAGTCCTGTCAAATGGGCGAGAGTCAGAATGCCCTTGAAGTGTTCAAGTTCTTAGTCTAGGCGTCCATTAGACTTGATTTATTCACATGTATGGGGACCTTTTCCCATTCAGTCGAATAATGGATTTTCTTATTGTGTTATTTTTATGGATGATTTATTGAAATTTTCTTGTGTGTTTCCTATGGCTCGAAAATCAAATTTTTGTGATTTATTTGTTAAATTTAAAAGGCATGTAGAGGTTTTGTTCAATGCCAAAATAAAAGTTTTTCAATCAGATTGGGGTGGAGAGTATCGCTCTCTCTCCCGGTACTTAGATTCGCAAGGAATCACACATTGATTGGCGTGCCTCATACACATGAACATAATAGATCAGTTGAATGGAAGCACATACATGTGGTTGAATATGCCTTATCTCTGCTATCCTCCTCCAAACTCCCCTTCTCCTTCAGGGTTGATGCGGTAGAAACTGCAGTCTTTCTGATTAATCGGCTTCCCACAGAGGTACTAAATGGTGTGTCCCCTCATGAAAAACTCTTTCAGACTTCTCCTAATTA